ACTTCGTGTCGGCACCTTTGATCNCTTTTCCGGATCACGTGAGTATCCACCATGTTAAATCCAGGACCGAATTGAGAAAAGTGCTCACAATTAGTTAATAAAACAGATAAGTAATAATATAGATTCGATACAGTAAATCAATAAATTCAATGTGTGAATTGAATAAAACGTTTTATTAGTGACAATTATTCGTAGGAGTGATCACTAAAGAAAATCTCTGATGTAATTGCTTATAAATTGTCTGCACATATGTATCTACGTTCCTATCGTCTTGCATTTCATTGGATCCAACCCAAAACAAAAGTTGCGCGGCGATACCTGCGCGAAGACTCAGTTTTTCGCTGAGTGGACCTACTGGTTATACTGTGGTTGAACTACGTAGTGTGAACTCTTTTGAACAGCCGTGTTGAGTGGCATAATTTTAGCCGCAGTTGTTGAAGAGTGCGGACGTCTGATATAACCTGATGTTGTGTATATATGTCAGACTCGGGAGATGGACGGGAAAGAGGAACAGCGGGTACTCTCTAAATTTTTTGGAGTGAATTTTCACTTTTTTGGAGTAAATCTCACTCCAAAAGAGTAAAAATACTGCCATTCAAATGGTCGAGTGGCAGTATTTTTAATTTTTTGGAGTGATATTTACTCCAAAAAATTTAGAAAGTAGCAATTAAATTTTGTACGCTTTCTGAATTAGTTTAAATGTCTTTGCCGCTGAATAATCAGCTTTGCAGCAAAATTTAATTGCTACCCGCTGTTCCTCTTCCTCGTCCATCTCCCAAGTCTGCACGCAAAAAAATAACTTAGCATTATCAGCTAAATATCAATAACTAGTTCAAACTTTGCTGTCATTGCTAAAAGTTAGCTATTGAAGATAAAATATATTTGTTGCGAGATACAATTTTATTAGCTAAAATAAAAGTGTACTTTAAGATTAGGAGCAGGAATAGCTAAGAAAGTGACATGAGGAAAGATTTTGCTGAAAAATTTAAAAGTTTTGCTGGATATTTCCTCAATAGAATTAGCTAAACATTATTTGATTCTTTCAGCAAATATTTTTTTGCTGTAGCGCTTAAATTTTAATAACTAATAAATTTAGCTTTGACAGTAACAATATTAGCTGTTCCTATTTTAAAAACACACATTAGTTGCCACGGCTATATTTTAGCTGCGTTGTCCAATCCTTTCTCTGCGTGTGACACACACAACACCAGCCTATATCAAACGTTCCCACTCTTCAACAGCTGCGGCTAAAATTATGCCACTCAACATGGCTGTTTGAAAAGGTTCAAACTACGTAATTCAACAGTCGTCTGATATATGGCGTCAATGGGAAGGCTACAAAAAAATCAGTCCGGGAACTTATGGACCGCACTGTATATATAAGATAGACTTCACATTGGCTTGGTTTTCCGGTTTCTTTTCAGAAGGGACATCCTTGGTACATCGATGTGAGAGGTAAAATACAAAGTGTCTTGTCCTTTACTATTGCATGACGCGCGCAGCGCAT